CCGAAAACCCCAAAGAGGAAGCTGGTGACGCAGCACCAACACCAGATCCCCAGAGGAACCCAAGGAATGCAAGAGGCGGAAGTGGAGTCTCCGTAGGAACCAACCGACGCCGGAGCCAAACCCGACTCCGCGGGCAGACAAGCACGCCGAAGTGCAAACTCCCGCACAACCGCCCAAGCAACCGCTGAGCAACCCGGGACCCCCTCCTGAACAGCCAAAGGCGGGACAACAGCCACAGTAACACTTCTGGAGGGAAGACAATGAGGGGCCCAAGAGCCTGAAACAAGGCCCAGGTCCGAACCCGGGACGGAAACAGAAGGTAAAACCTCCAGATCACCAGGAAACCAAACCCAGCGATCTGGAAAGAACCATCCCCTGGCGAGCAGACAAGCGGACTGACTGGGAGCCCACTCCAGCCAGTCGTCGAGGTAGGCCAGACACCGAATCTCAGACGCAGACAGGGCACTAAGATCCGGTAAAGATGCAAAGAGTATACAAAGTGCCCTTCACAAAATAGGGAATGCAATAAAAACAGCAAACCTGAAAGCCCCACCACCAAAGCATTGTATGACAATCATATGAAGACATATTATGACATATGACAATCATTATATGACAATATGACAATTATAATCAAAGCATTATATGACAAAGAGTGCTGGGAAGACGGGACACCACGAGAGTAGCTCTCATCCTGTAACTACACTTAGGTAATTACCAACCGTGCTAGCCCCAGAAAAACTGGAGGAACGTGCCAAGAAGTGACCTGGAGGTCCAGGTCCACCATCCATGCACCCGGCCCTAACAGAATCCGAACAGGAGACAACAGTCCTCCGAGCAGGGCAGAGGATCCAGGGCGCAGACGGAAGTAGTCCAGAAGAACTGCAGACTGGAAAAGCTCATGACTGCAAAGAGCAGACGGGAAGCCCAGAAGGATGGGGCGGATCGACCACGCCCCACGCACCCACGAAGAGGAAATGACGAAGCGCAGGGAAGAAGCCCACCCCGCCAGCTCTGAACCCCCCCAAGGGGGAGAAGCCGTCCTCCGACGCCAGCAGAGGCCGGAAGACAACCCAAAGCGCCCACCAACAGCGGGACCAAGCGAGAGGCAACAGAGCAAGCTGCTCCCCCAGCGCCCAGTCAACAGAGAAGGGAACAGAACCCCTTCAGAAAGAAAAAGTACACTACCGAAGTCATGAGGAGAGACTACGGGAATGAAACCACACTTCGCTGGAAGAGGAAGTGAGGGGAGACCTGATCACCACATACAAGATACCCAAGGGAATCGACAGGGTTGAGAAGGACAGGATATGTAACACAAGGGGCACACGCACTAGGGGACACAGGTGGAAACTGAGTACCCAAAAGAGCCACAGATAGTTTTTTTTTTTTTTTTTTTTTTTTTTTTTTTTTTTTTTTTTTTTTTTTTTTTTTTTTTTTTTTTTTTTTTTTTTTTTTTTTGAGTGTCAGAATGGGAACGGGAAAGCACTAAGAAGTAATGTGGCGACTCCTCACACAAGTAATGAGGCTGACCCCCATACAACGTCACATGTAGACATGACAGAGCCCAAGAGGCACAGGAACCGATACACCTGTTGACGGACGGTTGAGAGGCAGGACCAAGGAGCCAGAGCTCAACCCCCACAAGCACAACTAGGTGAGGACATATATTGTAAAAGCACAAGCCGCCGACTAGTGGCAAAGAACACTACGCCGGCCAGGCAAAGAAGGCACAAAACTGCATCAAAAGGCCCACCTCGACAGCAAAACCACAAAGTCCCAGCACAACCACAACATGTGCCAAGACCCAAAAAGCTCAGTCTGCAAGCCAGGAAGACCCCGGAACCCCAAAAGGCAGAACCGGGTCACTCGAGGAAACAAAGTCCCCTGAACCCACAAAAGGGGGCCCAAGAGGAAGAAACCTCCAGAACGAAACCAAGGAACCCAAAGGAACCCAGAATCGAACCAGGGGGAGCCCAAACCACCACATTTGCCGGCGGAGAACACCACTAAAAGGCAAAGCACAGACCCCAGCAGAACGCCCTGGGAAAACGGTCCCAACAGACCGAAAACCGAGGGGCAAGGTGTGGGAGCAAGCATACCAGCCAGGGGCACTGAGCCTAAACCCAGAGGCTCACACCCAAAATCAACACCCAAACGTTCCCAGAGGAACAGGCAACGGCAAGAAAACACCAGAAAACAAAGAAACGACAACAGGAGAACAAAAACCCTGCAAATTTTTTGAAAACTCACCAGAGACGCTCGCTCGCACACCCAGACGCATGTAAACAAACCGCAACGCCGCCCTGGTGGCCACGCCGGGAAACCGGCAGACGAAAATGGCCGCCAGCAGGGGCTGTGACTGACGCTTAATACACAAAAACACGCCAGCAAATGTGGGAAGCTAGTAGACTGGAAGGGCGAAAAACGACGCCCAACAGCAGAAAAACCCCTGAAGGGGCAAAACCGCCCCAGAACTGCTAGTAGGCATCCCCCACAGCCCCGGGAACCAACAACAGAGGCCCCGGGGCAGAGCCGGCCTCCAAGCCCTCCGCCCTTAAAGAAAAGCAAGAGCCCATGGGAAAGGCAACAAGAAAGGGCCGCTGGTAAGACCCAGAAGCCTTGGCAGGAGGCACAGGCTCAAACCTCCGTCCCCAACCCGAACGGGGCATCCCCCGAAAACCGCCCGAGTCTCTGCCGCAACTGAACCCCGCCCCGACCCAGAAACACGCAGACGGTCCGGAGCCGGGAACATGGAGAGAAAGGGGCGAGCAGCACCTAACCAAACGGGGCGGCCACGGGGCATTCGAGTGGGAAACCAACCTAGCATGTTGCAGCAACCTAACCTAGCTTGCAACACGGATGCCGCCTGTACTCTGAACAGTAATAACATCAGGAGAGTACTGGAGAACAAGCAGAGAATCACTCGCAAGACTCCGGGTCAAGGTGTCAGTGACCCAACAGGCAGCATGACGGAGGTAAAAATGGCGACTGTCACCCGGAGACAAGGGAACAGCAACCAACGATCCCGTACAAGACGGGTTGGAACCCGGAAGACACATTCAATGGTCCCCCGAGCCCAGACAGGGGTTTCCAGGGCCCGTAGGGTAACAACTACGGGAAGCCCGGGCAAGGTGTTGCTAACCGGTTAAGAAACCCAAACATAACAAGAGGGTAGATTATAGCACTGAAAACCCCCGAGACGTGTACAAGCACGGGGGCCTAGAAGAGGGCCGCCAAACACTACCAGTGGAACTATAACCACCTTAGGCAGACCCCCACCAGGCAAGAAAATGAAAAACAAAAGAAAAACCCCGCAAAAGTACACCGTCTCCAGAGGCAACAGAAACCGGCCGCCGCTTAGGTGGCAGGCTGCGCAACACCTTGACGCCCTAACCAGCACAATACCAATCCCTACCCAGGGCCAAACAAGGGCCCCAAGCCCCAGCTGGCCCCAAGGGCGAGGCAAATGCCGAGCAGCAAGAACCTCTACGGGAATGGTTCCCGAACGCCCCAGGGAAGATAACCCTGTAACGCAAGGGCAGTACTCACAGGGCGCTTAGGGAAGTCAGCCACTAAGCACATGCAGCCCCGGCACTGATGAAGTACTCCTGGCCACCGCACACCACAACACACGGCAGTGAACGCCACACAAGGCAAACACCGCCTAGGAAACTGAGGCCAGAGAAGCGTCAATCCCGGTTGACATTAGCGAACGAACTGGAGCTTGGCAGCCGGCGCGGTAGGTCCGGGGCTCCCCCCTCCCCCTCCCGGGGTGGGGAGGGCTGCGCGGACGATCGGCGCGGCAGTAAAGTGTGATGTTTGCTTGTTTGCTTGTTTCCTTGGGATTGTAGGGAGTTTTCTACCTCTCTGTTCGGTTTTTGTTGTAGTTTCTTACCATGTGGGGTTTGTTTTGTTACGCCTACCTTTCTGGGTGCCTAACCCCGGTCGATGGCAGATAAGGAAAACCCCCAACCATATGGGGTTTTCCAGGGCCATTGCTCCCTGAAACCTCTCTGAAGGGGCCAGGTTCTGGCGCTGGTCCCTGGTAGGTCTGAACTCCTTAGCTAATGTCCCGGTCTAACATAACACACATTAGCCCGATAAGCTCCAGGGAGCCGTAGGGGCTCCCCACAGAAATAAGGTAAATAAAATTATAACAGTATTTTTTAGTAGAGTAATAATATATAGGTACAGTATATAATATGATTATGCATTTTTATTGTGTACAAGAAAATAAGACACCGAGGCAAACGCCGCCTGGAGGCATCACCTCTTACAACGAATCCATCACCACAACAGACCGGGGTTGGTCCCATGTGGTTCACCAAAACGAGGTTGCACTGTGTATGTTTTAACTCACTAACAAACTAGTAAGTGTATTAACAAATTGTGTCCCCAGCTATATTGATGCCAAACATTTTCATATTAAATTAAGATTTTAACACTTACTAAATAATAGGGTTTTTACTTCATTGCTTCTGATAAGTATCAATGAAGAAAGTAAACGAATTGTTTCAATGAGTAAATAATGAAATGCTAAAAAGTGAACTATTTGGATTTTAGAAAAATGGACATAATTCATCAAAGTGAAAAACAAAAGTGAGGCACATCATCGCTGCCCTTGCACTCAAGTTACATTTTACATTATCATTATTTGAGAAAATAATTCAAGTCAAAAGAGAAAATATTATTAAAGAAGTACACATCTGTACAGTAAGAGTCTTGTGTTAAATGTAATGAAATGACCTTTTCTGGTGGGCCTAATTCCGGAAGGCAGGATACCAAGAACACAATTACAGTGGAAAAAATGATTAACAGCAGCTTATTTTAACCTTGTTTAACAACTAGTAGTATCACAAACACTAAGCTAAAGATATTAGGCATGAGTATAGGAAGGATCATATTTACTGTATTTTCAGATCTATAACCATCCATGTTAATTCTTACTGATATCCAAACTCTTGCAACACTACTACATATTAAGCTTTGATTCTTACCTTTTCTCCATATTCTGAATCTGTTATCATGTCTTTCAAAGTTTTCAGAACCTGAATACATAATTTTTCATCTTTCTCTTCAAGTAACTTTTCACAGTGGCGAATCAGCCTGAAATAATACATAATGTACTTGTAAATGGACTGTCATGTGAATCCCCTGCATAGCAGTGGAACTACCTTTTCCCTTCACCTTCAATGCCTCTGTACTGGAAGTACAGAGGCACCTACATCTACACCAGCCCAGATGAGTCATCAGTCCTGCCACCTCTCCATACCCCCCACGGCCTGGCACGGCCTGGTATAACTCAAGAGGCAAGCTGGATGCCTCTGCTAACCGGCAGTTTGCCCCCACAAACAAGCAGTTAGCCGCCTTTAACTAACAGTGGTGCAGCTCAACACAAAGGCACCGCCAGCCACAATGACCAGTTTGCTAGTTGACCAGAGGTCCACCTCGCGTTGACACTGGACGAGTCATCATCGCAGGACTATATAAAGGGCGCTGCCTCCCTGGAGAGCCAGTCTCTCCCTTAGTGCTCTAGGATCACCTTCGTGTCTCTTACCCGTCGTCCGCCTCTAGCCAACGATGCCATGATAATGCCATGGTAGTATGGTAGCTGTCTTCAGTACACCAGTATATTTTTATGCTTTTATTCATTGCTTATACTGTAGTTTATTTTTTACACTTAAGGTCATACTAACTTGTTCACTTTTGCATTACATGAGAGCCAAAGTATTTTCAGGGGCATTTATGTTCATTAACACTTTGGCGTACCCCGCGCGCCACCCCTCAACTGTGTGATATGGGACCCAGGGTGTCACGGGAGCGCGCGTAAATTCTGAAAAGTGTATACTCTCTTCAACTTTGTCACCTTAATTCTCGTCCTACGAGATTAAATTTGGTATCATTGTGTTCGCAATAGAATTCTCTGCAGCACTAAATGCATATAAACTCCAAAAGCCCAGCTAATTACCCGCAGCAAACAGAGGAAAGTGCGAACGAGTTACCCAGGAGCGCGCAAACGCGATAAAATGTTTTCACTATTTTCACTCTGGTCACCTCAATTTTCGTCCTAGGTCTTTCATTTTGGTCTCAATGGGTTCGCAATAGAATTCTCTAGAGGACCATTAGCATATAAAATAAAAAACCTGGTCACGCTCCAACTGCCGACGAGTTGAAGACAGGCCATGCGTTAGCTGCGAGTGAGCGCTCAGACGCCTTGCAGCTACACTACCAATTCTCTTCCTTTTCAAGCCTTTCTTTCGCAATTTTCTTCCTGGAAGGGCCTTGTTCATGATCACTATCCATCGTGGAGTAAGCGTAGATAGTTTCTAAAGCCGCAGTAAGAAATATAGCCACGGAAAATAGCCGAAATGTTCACACGTTTGAGATGCGAGGGGAGGCGACATTGGTCACAACAGTGGAACGAAAACAATGGGCCCACGGCGTGTGCCAAGCCGCCTGAGGGCCACGAGGCTCAACAAAGAAAATGGGAAGACATCGGCGCACATTTTAAAACCAGTCCCCAAAAAATCGGAAAAAAACCTGATTTTTGGCGATTATTTAAAGTGGATGACGCAATGATGCGTCATCCCCGGTATTACCGACAGTAAACGGATGACGCAATGCTGCGTCATGCCCAGGCGAAAGTGTTAATATTTCAGTAAATTGTTTAATTATTTATTTGATGATTTTGTTTCCACCTACGACTTACACACTGCAAATCCAAAAGCAGCATTTTTTTATTTGTATGAGGGAGAGCCATACCATCTTGGTTCAGTATAGCTGCGATACCACAACCCATCACAATACAGACAACTGGAGGCTTTACCGAAAACAAAGCCACAAAAACGGCTGGTGCAACTCCACAAATGATACACATGAAAAAAGGGACTCAATCAAACCAGTTTGAAATTCATTAGCACTGATAGCCACAACCAAGCAGTCTGGCCCCTGCCTCCAGCAGGCTTCCCTGGCCAATTCTGGAAGTGATGAACAGCCCACCGATGAACTGACAAACCTGGGAGGTAGGGGGGTCAGGAAGTGACGGGGACTCTACCAGAATGAGGCATTTCATTACATTCAATGAGAGGTTTCTGGGTGGCTCCTTGAAACTAATTAACAACTGGCCTGACGTGCGTGCCCCAGCCCACCCCAAGGTGGGCCGAGCATTTCCCGTGAGTGCGCATATAAATTAAAATGTGTATACTGTACTCTTTTAAGTTCCCTCACCTCAATTTTCGTGTTACATCGTTCATTTTAATATCAAATTGTTCGCAATAGAATTCTCTAAAGGGATACATGTGTATAAGGGCAAATGTAATAAGGGCCATTTGCAAAGGAGGGAAATCCACAGGAGAGATGCCGTCGTTTCGACCTCACCTAAGTGAACCCACTTCAGGATGACCCGACAGAGAGCGCAGGAGAAGCGGCCTGCCACACCAGCCCCGAACCTAAACACCCAGAAAACGTGGGACCAAGTGAGAACAAACAGCACAAGCCTCCCTCCCTTCCCCATCGCTCTGTTAATGGAGAAAACCGTGAAAGGGCCGACGACCCTTACAAGAGCCCAACCAACATTCAGAGTGATCACAACACTGACCCAGATGCTGACGGCTCCACAGGAGGGGCCTGTCCTGAATCTGGCACCACTGGCTTACACGACTGAAAGAACCCAGAGCTCTGGCCCAACTCTTCCAGGCAGGAACACCATGGCCCCTCCGGAGAACCTATAAGTTCGACATAAGCCGGCAACTAATGAAGCCACCTGCAGAAAATGCACCACCGCAGACTCAGCAAACAGTAATGGGCAAAACGAGGTTGAAAATCGAAGAACCAGGGCTCAAGTGGATTCCAAAGAGAGGACGAGCACTGCCTCTTGGCATGCGAGGTGAGAAGCAAAGAACAGACACACCACTTCCCTCAAAATCGGAGCAAACAACTTAAACAAGGCATCTGACGCCCAAGCCACTGAGGCAGGCGCACCGGACGTAAGCCCGGAAACCAGCACTTTCACAACCTCTCCCAAGCCACTCTGAAGACAGCTCCAACAGGGAAAAGAAGCGCAAGACTGAAGCCAAATGCCCATGGGCGCACAAAGCCTCGGCCACCAGGTACACGGAAGGGGAGGGAACCTGCACATGAAGCTGCATCTACCCGATATCATGAGGAAGCACGGAGACGAATAAGAAGCATTGAGGTGCTCAAATTCGCTGCCCCGGTAAACATGAACGACTGTAGTCAACTCCCGCCGTGCAAGCATGGGGGGGTCAGACAGAACACATGCCACGCCCCCCCTCCCCCCCCCCCCCCAATGAAAAGAAAGGGCAGTCTGCCAGCCAGGAAGACTCTGGCACCTCATAGTGCACCCAGTAATGAAAAGAGATCAAAACTCAAAACAAGAAGGATCCATTATCAAGACGTAATCTGGGTCTTGCCAGAGGTAAGCCGCAAGGGCCTCCCGCACATCCCTCAGCGGGATGTGGGAAGACGAAAACCTCCAGAAGGAGGGAACCGAGGAACCCAAGGGAACCTGGAACCGAACCCAGGGAGGAGTCGAACTCATATAAAACTCAAACAGGGAGGAGGGATAGGAACCCACCCCCCATAACAACAAGCCGAACCGAGGGTACCAACAACCGAGCGAGGCAAATGGGGCCCAATGCCCACAAGTCAACTCCTCCCCAGCCCCGGGATCCTCCACGTCAGGACCAAACCCACTGCCTGTGGAGAAAAGGCTTAGTCCACAGGAAAAGCAGGGATGAAGGGGGGTCCGCTGACATGTCCTGAAAGCCTCGGCAGGAGGAACAGGCTCAAATGCCTCCGCCGCCGATCCGTAAGGGGCAGTCCCCGAAGTCGCGAGTTTCACCACCAAGACAACCCTGCCCAGACTCCAAAACCCTCAGACGTTTGGGAGCCGGGAGCAGGGGGAAAGGAAGCAGGATGAACCACAGCAGGGGAAAGGACAAGAGGGCGTGGACAAAACCAAAGTTGAGGTAACTAACACCCCTCATGTCCGGGTCTCTACAACTGAAATGGGGCAGCCACATGGCTGCCCCATTTCTTTCCCTCCACAGATTTCCCTCCAAAGGATATCTGATCAACCAGGATGCGACTCATATGTCAGGCTGTGAACAGCTGCGTTCAACAGCCTGGTTGATCAGTCCGGCAACCAGGAGGCCTGGTCGACAACCGGGCTGCGGGGACGCTAAGCCCCGGAAGCACCTCAAGGTAACCTCAAGGTAAGGTAACAGCATCCAGAAAGGCAACCAACCGAGAGTGTTGCAGCAACCTAAACCTCGCATGCAACGTGGAAGCTGCCTGCACCCGAATATTAGTAATAGTGGATTGGGTGAACTGGAGTACATGCATGGAACACCACTCACAAGACTGGGTCAAAGGTGTCTTCATCCCAACAGGCAGCATGGCGGAGGCTAGATGGTGAGTGTCACCTAAGACAAGGGGACAGAGCACCCTTCAACTCGCAGGTTGGTGAGAAGGTGGTGAAAGCCAAAACCGTTAGTAGCTTCAGAGCGTAATTTGACAAAGAGTGCTGGGTAGACGGGACACCACAAGCGTAGCTCTCATCCTGTAACTACACTTAGGTAATTACAAAGCAAGGTGGGACTCAAGAGGTCTCCTCCATCAGACCAATGAGCCCCAATGGGGATTTCCAGGGCCTTTAGGCTGACTGTTAAGGGAAGCCCAGACAAGGTACTGCTAACTGGTATCCCAGAGCTACCGAGCAATAAAACTAAAAGCTGAACCCCTGCGACATGTGCATTCATGGGGACCTAGCAGAGGGCTACCAAAATCAAACAAGTGGTCCTACAGCCACACCAGGCAGACCCCCCACCAGGCAAAAGAAAATAAACACCCCGCAAAATCACAACGTCCCCAGGAGGAACAAAACCGGCCGCTATGTGTATTATAAGACAGCTGCACAGTACCTTGCGCCCCTGTCAGCCACAATGCTACCTCCTACCCAAGGTCAAACGGGTGGGAAAAAAACCCAGCTGACCCCCAAGGGCAGGCAATCACCAAGCAGCAAAAGAACCCAACAGAGGTAGATTCCCAAACAGTTTGTGGAAGGTAACTCCAAACTGCAAGGGCAGTACTTACAGGGCACCTCGGGAAGGTGACCCTAGGCGCATGCAACCCCAGTACAGTACTTCTGGAATAACACCTGGCTCGCACACCACCACACCGCAGCACAACACCACAAGGCACAGACTGGAGCCAGGCAATCCTTGCCAGGCAGGCAAGGATTGGAGTCAGAGTTGATCAACCGCCACCCAACACAACAGCCTCAGAACTGGGGTTGGGTAGCTGGAACAGGGGGGAAGAATATCTGGGGTTCCCCGTTTTCCCTCGTAGGGAGGAGGAAGCTGCGCAGACAATGGCGCAGCAGCTGTGGTGACATCATTCTTGTTTGCTTGTTTTCTGATTGGGGAGTTCTGCTTGCTCGTTCGACTTTTGGTTTGGAGTTTTTCATCAGCTGTAGTTTATTTTGAGATTGACCTGGTAGATGACAGATACAGACTGCTTCCAACCACACGGGGGTGTCTATAGGCCATTACTCCTCGTGCCTCTCTGACTCTGAGGGGAAAGCAGGTTCTGGCTTGTGGTCCCCGGTAGGCACAGAACTCCATCGATTAACTGTTGCCACGGTCTAAAATATACACATTAGCCCGGTATAGCTCCAGGGAGCCGAAGGGGCTCTCTACAAAAAAGTCACCCAAAATCTATGTATTTTGAAGTTGGGTTCCCATTATTTCCCCTTCCCCAACTTCATGAATAAAGCTCTTGAAGTGTTTCTGATTATAGTTGGTAAACAAGTAATTAAAGCCTGGCAGTTAGAAAATGCCTCTGTGGTCCCATATAGGCTGCTGGCTCGAGGAGCAACCAAGAGGCCTTTCCTCAGAAATATAATGTATGAATGCAGTTACCTGGAAATAAAGCCACCATTTTTGCATTTTATACTGGCTTCACTGTCAGGTCTGAACAGTTTGTGTGGCTGATAAAGAATGTCCACCAAGACAGAGAGTTCGGCTGAAACCAATGGGCGGAGCTCTGCCTCTAGTACCGACACGACAGAGTTAAAATCTTGCTCGATGACAAGATGATCCATCCGTCCAGAAAGCTGTCAAAGGGAAAGTAACATTATGAGTTTTGATTAAAATGGATATTTATTATCAATATATTAATCATAATTACATTTATGTAAATTGTTCAATGCAATATAATTTAGTTAAGAATGGCTCTTTAACCCTTAGACAGTGGTTATGGTCACTTGTTCATTCACAGAGTAATGCACTTATCATATGAAGATTTAATCAATTATTGCCTGGGTTTTATATGTAGTTACCTGACTTTACCTTTGTTTACCTAAATTTACCTGTCGTTTAATCTTTCTAGTGTGAACAGTGATGTAATGTATTCATTCCGAGTGTTTGCTGCCCTTCTATCATCCAACATAACTTGGTTAGTCTCATCTTTTAGGGCTCCTACAGAGTCCTTTGTTTTGGTTTTACTTCGTATATATGCATAGAATGATTTTGGATCTTCCTTTATGATTTGGGCAAATTTTCTTTCGTAGTTTCTTTTGGCTAATCTGATTTCCTGGGTGGCTGAATTTAATGCCCTTTTATATATGGTATCTCCTAATCATGATGTTCAATTTTTTTTTTTTTTTTTGAGATATATACAAGAGTTGTTACATTTTTGTACAGCCACTAGCACGCGTAGTGTTTCGGGCAGGTTCCTGGAATACGATCCCTGCCGCGAAGAATCGTTTTTACAACCAAGTACCCATTTTACTGTTGAGTTAAACAGAGGCTACAGTTAAGGATTTGTGCCCAGTAAATCCTCCCCGGCCAGGATACGAACCCATGACAAAGTGCTCGCGGAACTCCAGGCGAGTGTCTTACCACTACACCACGAGGACATTGTTGATTTATACCGTCTCCAGAGGTTCCGTTTAGTTATTAATGCTCTTTTTACTACTTGTGTCATCCATCTTGTTCCCTTTCTATCCTTTCTCCTTTTTTGCCATATATCTTTGTACAAGTTCAATAATGACCTTTTTGAAATTTTGCCATGATGTTTCCATGCCGTGATCACCTATCAGCTCCCTCCATGAGGTGTTTTGCAATTCCTCTCTCATTTCCTGATAAAGGGAAACCATGTGTGACGACTGCCCTAGAGGACGAACTTTTTGGTTGAAGACATCAAATTCATCGTAAAATTTGAATTGGTGTTTGACGGTTTACTTGGAAGACGACGTCTGTTCGTACGCATATGGGTTGAATGAGCTCGTGGTGCTTGGTTCGCAGAGCGAGGCACTCTCAGTTTGTTTACAAGTCTATCCCGCGTAGTGACGACCGTGACCGCGCTTGAATTCTTTGTGAAGAATTTCATTGCTTTATTACCATCTCCTTCGGTGGTTATAATAGGAGCTGCCTCGTATGGGCCAATAGGCCTGCTGCAGTTCTCATTACTACTATCCCCTACACCTGACTTTCCTCCTCAGTTCTCTCTTGCCTATTTAATTCCTGTCCCTACCTGTCCTCATCACAATCGACTTGAGAATGGTCCAAGACGGACCGAAACGTCGTCGTCTCTTCAATTTCTAGTGTGTGGTCTGGTCATCATACTTCAGCCACGTTATTGTGACTCATCGCCTGCACAAGAATTTCATAGTTTGCCTGCTTTTTTTGCTTTGTTTAACATAAAAGTTCTTATTATATATCATGCCATGGATCCGAAGATAGTCAGTGATAAAGTTCAACCTAAGAAAATAGTTGTGAGGATGACGATAGAGGAAAAACAAGAGAACATTCATAGTGAGACAATGTGATGTCTCACTACAGACAAGTGTTAAAACATAAGGAAAAACAAGTGTCTTTAGACAGATTCTTAGCAAGACAAGCAAGCAGTGAGCCACAAGCAGGTTCTAGTGGTATGCCTGCATAACGTAAGAGAGAGAGAGAAAGAAGAAATGTCATCACTGCTGTTATAATGGAAAGGCACTCCCCTACGAATCACAAACACCTTCCCTTCCCCCCATCCCCGCCCTTACTCACTGTCTTCCATATGCCAACAAGAGGTCGCATTTAAGGTGAGATATACATATTGTATTGTAGCTAGAACAAAATGAGTGTTTTTTGGCATAAAATGTAGTTTAAAGTCAATATTTTTGGGGGTGTGGAACGGATTAATTAAATTTAAATTATTTATTATGGGAAAATTTGTTTTGGTTGACGACGCATCTCTGGGAATGGATTACGATTGTAAATGAAAGTACCACTGTAGTTTCCTCGGTGGTACTCTAGATCATCATCCTGGACCTTAATAAGTTTCTGTAATTGCATTCCGATTTAGAAAATTGTGAACACAAGATGGAGTAGGCTTTTTTTCCCTACTTGAATTAGATCGACCATGCCCTCTTCTGATGTTAGCACAAGGTCCAGAATGTTGTTACCACGAGTGGGCTCAACAACATGTTGTATGAGAAATGAGTCCTGCACTAGGTCTAGAAATTGATTTTCTGCTTGTGATGTTAGATTTACCTAATCTATTGTCTTGTGGTTAAAATCGCCCATTATAAGAGTTTGGATTTGTGATACTGCATTGATCATATTCCCCAGTGGTGTAGTGGTTAAGACACTCGCCTGGTGTTTCGCGAGCGCTTTGTCCTGGGTTCGTATCCTGGCTGGGAAGAATTTACTGGATGACAATCTTTAACTGCAGCCTCTGTTTACGTAACAGTAAAATGGGTACCTGGTTCTTAAAAGATTTGGCGGGGTCGTATTCTGGAGAACATAGTATCAAGGACTTGCCTGAAATGCTATGCAAGAAGCACAAGAATGTAAGATTACATTGTTACATTATGCAGATCAGTAAATTCCTCTGCTATTGCTGTGTCAGCCCTGTGGCATACTTCCAATGTCAGTATGTTACCATTTTGAGCTAGTATATTGCACCATACAGACTCCGAGGATCACATGGTGTTCAATTCCTCATTGGTGGTTACATTCAGATCCTCTTTCACATAAAGCAATACACCACCTGGTCTTGTTGTTCTGTCCTTTCTGAACAGTGGATGATAACCTGAGAGGAGGAATTTCCCTTCAATAATGTCCTCTCATCCCCATGTTTCACTTATGCCAATGATGTCTAGAGTCTCGGCCTCAGCATATGCACACAATGCATCAAATTTATTCACCAGGCTTCTGGCATTAGTGTACAAACACTTTATATTTCTTTTGCATGATGCAAATATGGATATAATAGGTCTATGTGGATGTAAAGGAAGTTACCTTGACCCCATGAAAAAACCAGCATTGAATGTAATGAAACACCATTTTCTGGGTAGAGCCCCGGAGGCTCCCTGGAGCTATTGGACTATTGGACTAATATTAGCTAATATTAGTATGGGGCTTCAGTTCAGTCAAACAAGCAGCGTGCGATGTGATGACATGTTGCTTGTTTTCTTGTTTGCTTTGGGGGAAGTTTCTAGTCTTTGTTTAGTCTCCGATTGCAATTTTCCTATGAGTTGGGGTCTCTTTTGGGGCGCTTACCTTTCTGGGTGTCTAACCCTGGTTGATAGCAGACATGAAAACTTTCATACAAGGGAGTTTCATAGCCCATTGCTCCCTGTGCCTCTCTAAGGGGACCATGTTCTGGCTAGTAGTCTCCGGTGGTCATGACAACTCCACATGACTCAAGCCCCGTACTAGTATTAGCTAATATCAGTCCAGTAGCTCCAGGGAGCCTCAGAGGCTCTCCTCAGAAAATCCTGTTACCTTTTCATGCTACAAATGTTATCATCATCATAAATGTTACTAAGGGAATGCAGTCATGATCATAAGATGATTTAAACAATTATTGTCTGGGTTTTACATGTATGATGCAAATATAGATATAAAAGCTGATAAATACAAGCAAATAAAAGACATAAAAGTGATAAATCCGGAAGCGTCGGCAAAGTCAAGCACCAGGCTTGCCTTTGACAAGTGGCAGACAGCCTTGCAGAGCGCTTCCATCCTGTGAAACGATATTCACTCATTTTCGTATTTTTTTACATTCTGCATACAAATTAATAATTCTATAATGAAAAATTAATTGTTGGAATTTTGTTATTTTTTGTGCATAGGCTGGTATAACCATTTGTCTATAGCCATTGTCTAAGGGTTAGTGTGGATGTAAGTGGTCATCTGCTCTATATACTCTATAGCCACTGTCTAAGGGTTAATCTGGATGTGTCATTCTGCTCTATATACTCTATACAGTACAATATATGCTTTATTGCTCTACTATGAAAATCCACATTAGAAAGATTTTTTGTTGTGTCAGAGCAGAGAACATAAGAAATGCATTATGAAGAAATGTGGTGGAGGCAGACTCCACACACAGCTTCAAATGTAGATATAATAAGAGTCCAATAGGCTGAGGAATGAATGCACACAGTTGATAAAGAGTTGAGAAGTGGGACAAAAGAACCAAAGTTCAGTCCCCACAAGCACAGCTAGGTGAGTACAACAAGGTAAATACAACTCAATTATTTGGACCTACAATTCTAAATATTTAACAGTAAACAAAGCCAACTACAACTACTCTTGGCTGGCTACTTTCTTCTTGCCAATGTACACCTTGTTGTTCAGAATACCTTTTCAGTAGTTACATTCTTCAGGAAAATGATGCCATTTTTCACACAAATGCTACAAAGTTAATATATGGGTAAAAAGGAATATCATTTCATTACTTAGGTTTCAGTAACAAAAATACTGTATGTATTTGAGCTTAATTTCAAACATAACCAAAATAACAATTATGCTGTTTAGCTATAAACAGCATGCCCATGCACTCTGCATGAGGCCCAGACTCCTGGAATTCTATATTCATCAAGAATTGCAAAAAATCAGGGGTGAATGTAATGAAACTACATTTTCTGGGTGAGTCCCGGAGGCTCCCCGGAGCTATCCAGGCTGATGTGTATCTCTTTAGAATTTGGCATCAGTTAAAGTGGGTGGAGTACAAATCCTACCGGGGACCATGAGCCAGAACCTGGCCCCCTCAGAGAGGCACGAGGAGCAATGGCCTATAGAAATGCACATTTGATTGTGGAGCATTCTGAATCTGCCACCGATCAAGACAGGCACCCAGAAAGGTAGGTGCATCAAAACAAACCCCCTATTCTGGTAAAAAACGATGAAAATAGACAAACGAGTGGACAGAACTCCCCCAAATGAAAACGAGCACATTAGCATGACGTCACACGAGCTGCGCCGCATAGAGCCCTAGACCCTTGCGCTGGTGATCCACACCCCAGTTCTGAAGCTGGATATCAAAATACAAGAAAACCGCCGACCAGAAGGAGGGAGGGTTGCTAGGGAGCCTCTGGGACTCGCCCAGAAAATAGAGTTTCATTGGATCTACCCTGGTTTTCTGGGGGAAGACCCTTCGACTCCACGATGCTACTTCATCAAAGATGAAAAGGAAAAGGGGACTTTCCCGGGAGGCAGTCAGTGCTCACATCTCAACTCGAAATCAAGACAATAGGCTGCAACTGCCGACCCAAAGCAACACAGACCTGACTAGGCCCAGGAACATTCACGAGGTAGTGTGCAGCCAGGACCCTGTTCGACCGCCAAAAAGCCAGCCCAGGAAATGTTACTGAAGACGGTAGCAAGCACAGCAAACTTCCAAACATCATGGCAAGGTGTTCGTAATCCCAGGCAAGGTACTACTAACCGGCACCCAATGCTACTAAACAAACTGCTAATGCTGAACCTCCGTGATGTGTCCACTCACGAGAGCGAAGCAGGGGAATACCACCAAAAACAGAAGGCCAAACCCTAATATAACTGAGGGAAGACACACCAAGGCAGACCCCCCCCCACCCATCAGGCAAAAAAGAAAAAGAAAAAACTCGCAAGAGGACAATGCAATGTATCCAGGAAGAACAGAGCTGGCCGCTGTAATGGGAGAAAACTAGCTGCGCAGTACCCTGTGCCGTTACCAGTGCAAAACTACCCACTTACCCCATGGTAAACAAGGGTGAAAACCCCCTTAAACACTTGGGGCAATCAATCGCCGAGCAGCAAAAGACCAACAGAGGTAGACCCTAAGGTGACTTGTGGAAGATAACCCCAAGCCCCAAGGGTGGTACTTACAGGGCACTCCGGGAAGATAACCCTAAGCACATGCAGCCCGAGTACCTGTGAATATTACTCCTAGCTCGCACCCCACCATAAGAGCAGTATTGGACCCAAGGTACAGCACAACGCAGAGGGTGTCTAGAGCTGGAGCCACTAGACCATGCCACAATCTCATCAGCCAAGAATTGGAGGGTGGATCGCCGGTGGAGTAGGTCTGGGGCTCCCCCCACCCTTCCCCTTCCCAGGGAAGGGGGAGCTGCGCAGGCATGCAGCGCAGCTCGTGTGACATCATGCTCATTTGCTCATTTTCATTTGGGGGGTTCAGTCCACTCGTTTGTCTATTTTAGTTGTTTTTAATCAGAATAGGGGTTTGTTTTGAGGCACTTACCTTCCTGGGTGCCTGACCCAGTCAATGGTAGACACAGAATGCTCCAAATCCCATGTGCATTTCTATAGGCCATTGCTCCTCATGCCTCTCTGAAGGGACCAGGTTCTGGCTCATGGTCCCCAGTAGGCCTAGAACTCCACCCACACTGACTGATGCGAAAGTCTAATGATATACATATCAGCCTGGATAGCTTCGGAGAGCCAAAGGGGCTCCCCCCAGAAAAAAAATGAAATATTCCTAGGCCTAGTGTAACATATATATGTACTATATTAGGTCTCGGATAGTATGTATTAGGCCTAGGAGGATTAGGTTAGGTTGAGTTTTCTTTGCAACATCAGTGTAAAAACTTTTACTGTTTGTCCAAATTCAATATAGTAGTACCTATTTTCAACTTTCTAATTACCTTTTACATTAATGTATGTACGATGGTCCTTATCATTACTATAAGTACAACCTAAACAGGAGGATGGGCTGCTAATTCTGGGAGGGGCCCCTTCAGTATCTCCAAGAGCTCAGCGGCGGGACACCATGAGCGTAGCTCTCATCCTGTAACTACACTTAAGTAATTACACTTAGGTAATTACTGGTCCAGCCAGGCCTTAGGTGATGAGATGCATCAGGCCTCTGAGACCCACTATTGCCTTAAGGAAGCCAAGACCAGAATCTGAGTGACTAGGAGGAAATGCTCTCTTCTCTGGACCTTCATGCCCTCTGCCACTCATACACACTACTCAGCATTCAAAGCCATTTCTCACATTCACCTGTGGCCAAATTCACGAGCACTTTCCACATTCAACATTTGCCATCTCTCAGATCTTTACACCCGCTGAGAACATTCTATATCCGCTGCCACTTCTCACACAATGCACACGGTAGTCATTATGACAGGAATGCGACTGAATTTAGCCAATGAAGTCACTAGAATCCACAACAAATACACATAGATGGTTAAGATGATAGAGCAGTGAGTGCCTGGCAAGCAGACACTGCCATACTTGCCAAACAATACTCTTCAGCTCATGAAATTACATTTTTGGGGAGGGACTTGGCAAGCTTTTGGACAATGATATATGGATTAACATCAGCGCTCTGTATTAGTAGTAATAATTTTAGTAAACAGTTTGTATTCTCAATGGATACTACTAGCACACACCAGAGTCCTAGCTATACTCCTCTCACCGCTGGAATTGGCTGGCAGCTGTATCAGAGATATATTGGACAAACAGTAATTTTTTTAATATCGATTTTTAATATACATTGCATGCAACACAAATGCAATACTTAATTGTATATGAAATGTTACTTATGTTAATCAAAATTTAAGGTTTTAAAGGCTCTGATTCTACATTTGAAAAACAACATTGTTTTGTGAAGTGAAAAATAAGATATTTTAGGTAAGAATTTTACAAAGGAAAATTATGCTAACCTTGGAGATTTCAACTTTAGCTAACAGGAGATATGCTAACACCATCTTGTCATAGCCAAGACATAAATCTGATTAATAGGAGTAATAACTAAAGTGAATATTGGGTAAGGAAAGAAACACTCAATTATAATTTTTAAGAAAAAAGCTAAAAGAGAAGCACATGCTAATAAGGGCAAAGGCTATTTGAAGACAAAATAACAATGGTGGAAGAAGAAGACAGATACAGTGCATTACATACACCATGGTGGATACAGTGTTAAACAGCAAAGTGTTCAAGTGATTTGTGCTCCTAAAGAACATGCTAAGATAACCACTTGATGATATTAGTACCAGGATCACAGTACCAGGATCACAGTACCAGGATCACAGTACCGGGATCACGGTACCAGGATCACAGTACCACGATCACAGTACCGGGATCACAGTACCGGGATCACAGTACCGGGATCACAGTATCGGGATCACAGTACCGGGATCACAGTACCGGGATCACAGTACCGGGATCACAGTACCGGGATCACAGTACCGGGATCACAGTACCGGGATCACAGTACCGGGATCACAGTACCGGGATCACAGTACCGGGATCACAGTATCGGGATCACAGTATCGGGATCACAGTACCGGGATCACAGTACCGGGATCACAGTACCGGGATCACAGTACCGGGATCACAGTACCGGGATCACAGTATCGGGATCACAGTATCGGGATCACAGTACCAAGATCACAGTACCGGGATCACAGTACCGGGATCACAGTACCGGGATCACAGTACCGGGATCACAGTACCGGGATCACAGTACCGGGATCACAGTACCGGGATCACAGTACCGGGATCACAGTACTGGGATCACAGTACTGGGATCACAGTACCAGGATCACAGTACCGGGATCACAGTATCGGGATCACAGTACCGGGATCACAGTACCAGGATCACAGTACCGGGATCACAGTACCGGGATCACAGTACCAGGATCATAGTACCAGGATCACAGTACCAGGATCACAGTACCAGGATCACAGTACTGGGATCACAGTACCAGGATCACAGTACCAAGATCACAGTACCAAGATCACAGTACCAGGATCACAGTACTGGGATCACAGTACCAGGATCACAGTACCAAGATCACAGTACCAGGATCACAGTACCAGGATCACAGTACTGGGATCACAGTACCAGGATCACAGTACCGGGATCACAGTATCGGGATCACAGTACCGGGATCACAGTACCAGGATCACAGTACCAGGATCACAGTACCGGGATCACAGTACCAGGATCACAGTACCAGGATCACAGTACCAGGATCACAGTACCAGGATCACAGTACTGGGATCACAGTACCAGGATCACAGTACCGGGATCACAGTATCGGGATCACAGTACCGGGATCATAGTACCAGGATCACAGTACCAGGATCACAGTACCAGGATCACAGTACTGGGATCACAGTACCAGGATCACAGTACCAAGATCACAGTACCAAGATCACAGTACCAGGATCACAGTACTGGGATCACAGTACCGGGATCACAGTACCAGGATCACAGTACCAGGATCACAGTACCAGGATCACAGTACCAGCATAACATAATGAGTGATAACACACCTTAATAACGTCAATGACTCACAAATACACAGGCTATTTGACATGTTCTCATCTCCTAATAAAGAGCTCTACCTCCAAAGGGGTTGTTCATGTTAATATGTACCGCTTCATATGCAATGGCAAGTGTAAGTATTTCTGGCCCGCTGATAATACAGGTAATAACCCACACGAGACGACAACGCCACAACCTTTACTTCGTCGTCTAATTGTAAAGGAGACATCTATAGGCAAGAAGTAAATAGAAATTACTCAGTGGGCTTCACCATTTAAAGCATCTAAGATGGCAAAAACAAAAAATATTATTCACTTTATTTCTGGGCTCACCTGATCTCCGTCATCTTCTTCGAACATTAAGTCATTGCAAGGCTACAGGAAAATGCAAGAACATCAGTCTACTACCCCAATGTCACCTTACAAAACATCATTTTATTACACTTGAAGGGAACAAGCAATTCCAAAACATTAAGCATTACTTAAGATATGATCATATGAAACTTTGTATTTTACCAAAATAAATTATTTTTGTGAAAGGTTTATATAAAACAAACATGAATTTAAAATGTATCATAAGCTCCTAATAGCACCAAAAGCGCTATTAGGAGTGCAGCTGTAAACAAAAGCAAAGCGAAAATCAGTTTGTGTTAATGGTTCAAAACATAGCAAAACACCAGCATTGAATGTAACAAATCCCTAATTTCTGAGTGAGCCCCAGTGGCTCCCTGAATGAGAATCTCAATGAGGCGACCCTTAACTACTGGATCGCATCAGTCATAAAGTTAAGTTCGGCCTACTGGGGACCAGAGAAAGAATCTGCTCTCCTCACAAGGGGCACAGGAAGCAGGTGACACTCGACCACCTCACCATGAAAAACACTTAGAAATTCAGCTTACCAATACAGACAACTGCTGAGTTAAAGAGAAACAGAGGTCTCAAAACCCACTGAATGAACTATCCCAACAATTTAAACAAATAATCTTAAATCTCTCGTAACAATTGTGCATTCATTCACCCCACCCCTCCCATTCGTTTGGGAAGGGAGGAGGGAAGGGGGGGGGGTCCTGGGGTTCTTGCTGTCCATTAGTTCAAGCCCTCAGCTATGGACCAGCTGTAAACATTAGACACCCCAACCGACGACCTGGAAGGGAGGGCAAATTATCAGGAAGCTACTGGGACTTACCCAGAAGTTGGTGTTTCATTACATTCAACATTGGTTTTGAGAGAGAAGCCCCTTTTGGCACAAACACAGAATCACCAGGGAGGAGGAACTGCAGGAAATCAAGACGAATGTGAGACACCAGGCCGCGAGACATGACCTAAGGGATATTAGCAAAATATCCAGTGTTGAATGTAATGAAACGCCATTTTCTGGGTGAGCCCCAGAGGCTTCCTGGAGCTTACCGGGCTGATATGTATGTATTAGACCATGGCATCAGTCGATGGAGTTCTTGCCTACCGGATACCATGAGCCAGAACCTGGCACCCTCAGAGAGGTGCAATGGCATATGGAAACCCACATATGTTTGGAAGCATTCCATATCTGCCATCAACCGGGGTTTGGCACCCAGAAAGGTAGGCGTAACAAAACAAACCCCACATGGTAAAAATTGCTACCTAAAACCGAACAGGGAGGCAAAACTCCCAAACTAAAACAAGCATACAAGCAAATGTCACTAATGCGGTCACACCGATTGTATGTGCAGCCCACCTCCTCTATACATACTGAGCAGGGGAGGGGAGACAGACCCCCCCATGCCGGCCACTACAGCATTCAGTTTTGAAACCGAGTATCAAAAAAGAGAGAGAGAGAGAGAGAAAAAAAAAGCCGATCAGAGGGAAGGTACTGGGGAGCATCTGGGGCTTACCCAGAAAATGGTGTTTCATTACATTCCATGTTAGTTTTCTGTAGGGAGCCCCTACGGCTCCCTGGAGCTACCTAAACGAAAAAAAGCGACGAGGGATTTACCCGGATTTGCTTGCCGCCACTCCCGTCTCAACTCGAAGTCGAGACAACTGGCGGCAACGTGTGATCCAAAGCAACACACACCTGAATAGGGCCAGGAACGTTGACTAAGCAATGCGCGGCCAGGACCCTGTTCGACTTTCAAAATCCCCTTGCCCCAAATGTCAGGCCAAGACACGTTACCAAAGACGACAGCCAAAGCAGCAAACTTGCGAACGTTATAGGCACGAGGACAAACCACAGGCTGGCTGGACCAAATATCCCTGTGGAAGACTGGTAGACCCAAGGCCTGGAACAGGGAACAAGGAAAACTGGGTCAACCCAAAGCGCATGTCCGGCTACAGAGGCCGTGGTGTACAGATAACGGCAAAGAGCCGCGATCGGACACAACACATGATGCACCCCCCGGCGTGACCAACCAAGCATTAACTAGCCAAGGACCCCTCCTGAAAGCCTCTGACTCATTCTTTGCCAAAAAAGAAGGAGACAGTTGCAAATGAACAAACCTACCGCCAGGACTGAAAGAGTAGAAACCTCTGCGCCAGAAGAGAGCATGAAGCTGCCCGACCCGATCCCCAGAACCCAATGCCAACAGGAAAAATGAGCCTTGGAAAAACAATCTTGTACCGAAGGGGGCCACAATAAACTGAGGAGAAGAGAGAGAAAGGAGAGCACCTGTCTAAGGACCAGGACGGCTCAGGCGTGCATGAGCAGGCCAGAGGTGAAACAAAGCACGAGAAAGCTTATGAAAGGGAGCAGAAGTAACATCTATCCCGAACGCAAGTTGAAGCAGCTCCGCCAGTCCTGCACGATACAAGGTGACAGCATTAGGCATCAAATGACAGTGCTGAAAAAACCAAGAAAGGCAATGAGTCACAATAACGTGGCTAAAGTATGTTGACCAGACCACACACTAGAAGGTGACGGGATGGCGACGTTTCGGTCCATCCTGGACCATTCTCAAGTCAATTGTGACTTGAGAATGGTCCAGGACGAACCGAAACATCGTCATCCCTTCACCTTCTAGTGTGTGGTCTGGTCAACAAAGCCAAGAAATAAATGACAAGACAACCTTATCTGAAATAGAGGACAACCTGCAAAGAGAAGGAAAATGGTAGAAAGAGCGCCAGGAAACTTCATACTGTTGCTGAGGCAAAGCTCGCAGGTGGGACACCATCAATGAAGCCACCTGATCACCATACAAATGGTGGCAGAGTCGCATCATACAGCACAGACACGAAGAGCAAAGGAGAAGACCGAATCAGCCAGGTACCTGACTGGGCCAATCTTCTGAAAGGCAGAGCTGCAGAAAACATTGTGGGTTCAAACACCGAGCTAGCTGTGCCTGAAACTAAGGCTGGGCCAGCTACCAAGAAGCCAACAGGACTACTCTTCCCTGATAAGACTCCAACTGAGCCAGGACCCGAAGTAGCAGCTGGACCGGGGAAAAGAGGTACAGGTAATCCCACCTCAACCAGTCCTGCAGAAAGGCATCTACCGCAATGGCCTCGCAGTTGGGGAAGGGCACCACGTACACAGGAAGATTCCTGTGTACGTGGTGCCCTTCCGCCGACATGCCGATGCAGAGAGGTCCACGTCTGGGAGTCCATACATCTGGCAAAGCCAACTAAAGGAGTTGGCATCGACCGTACATTCCATGAACAAGGGAATGATCCAAGACAGGCCATCCATCAGGACGTTGGACACCCCCAGACATGAACCACAAGGAGAGCCAAACCCTGAGAATCCAAAACACCACTAACTCTAAGAAACCAGCCCCAAACACAGGAGAACAGTCCAAATGGAGATTGATCGTCGAACCCCGAGCGACCCAAACCCTCTGAAGTGCCAGCCAAACCGCTTCGAACTCCCATACCGTGCTGTGAGCCTGACGGATGGACGGACCCCACCGCCCATAGCCAGCCTGGTGAGCACTGGTCACAAAACCCCAGCTGAGAGACGAGGCATCAGTGAACATATCAAGCGAGGGCTCAGGTAGGCATTAAGGCACTGAACCCCAAAAAAACCTAAGATGAAGCCTGCGATGCAGCAACTGAAGCAAAACCCCTTGGGGCCGAACCCAACGATCGCGAGAGAGGTGGAAGAGAGATCTCCAAAGGAACCAGAACAGCTGCTGAAGCCACACCCAACCCAGCGGGAAAACAAGCACAGCAAAGTTCAAACTCCCGCACAGCTGCTCAAGCAACCGCCGAGTGACCCTGGAGCCCTTCAGAAACAGGTGAAGGTGGACTGCAAGCGCGGCAATGACTCTGGAGGGAGAGATATGTAAACGGTTCGTGAGTTCCACACAAGACCCAGTCAAATCCGAACCCGGGACAGAACCAGATGGGACTTCCTCCAGTTCACCAGGAACTCAAACCCGGTGAGCTGGGAAAGAAACACCCCTGGCGAGCACACACACAAACCGCCTGGGAGCCCACACCAGCCAGCCAGCGGAGGACCACCAATACAACAGAAGGGTGGATAAACCAAGGGGCAAACTATCATCAACCAAAATAAACAAAAAGAAAATTAAAACCCAGCAAAAGCACAATGTCCCCAGAAGGAAGAGAATCAGCTGCTGTGTATATTGGGAGACAAGCTGCACAATACCTTGCTCCCCTACCATCAACAATACCACTTCCTACCCAAGGCCAAACAGTGGCAACAAAAACCCCAGCTGGCCCCAAGGGCGGGAAATTGCCAAGCAGCAAAAGACCCCTATGGAAGCGGTTCCCGAATGCCCTGTGGAAGATAAGCCCAAGACGCAAGGGCAATACTTACAGGGCACTTAGCGAATGTGGCGCTAAGCGCATGCAGCCCCAGTACTGATGAATTACTCCTGGCTTGCACATCACACACAGCAGAATACACTACAAGGCACAGAGGCCAGAGTCAACCACCGCCACAGTCCACATCAGCCGAGGAACTGAATGTTGTAGCGGCCAGCGCGGGGGTCCGTGGCTGCTACAGGGGCGTTAGTGATGTTTGCTTGCTTGCTTGTTTTAGTTTGGGAGTTCTGCCTCCCTGTTCGGTTTTAGGTAGCAATTTTTACTATGTGGGGGATTGTTTTGTTATGCCTACCTGTCTGGGTGCAAAACCCAGGTCGATGGCAGACATGGAATGCTTCTAAACACATGTGATTTCCATAGGCCATTGCTCCTTGTGCCTCTCAGAGGAGGCCAGTTTCTGGCTCGTGATCCCCGGTAGGCAAGAACTCTATCGATTGATGCCAGGGTCTAATACATACATATCAGCCCAGTAAGCTACGGGGAGCATCTGGGGCTTCCCACAGAAAACCGGCATTAAATGTAATGAAATGCCATTTACTGGGTGAGACCCTGAAGCTTCCTGAAGCCTGGCTTAATCATTAAGATGGCTTAATCATCACTGATTAAGTGCCATACTACAAAGTGTCATTAATTGCAAAGTTCTTTTTGCCTACTGGGGACCACAAGCCAGAACCTGGCCCCTCAGAAAGGTACAGAGAGCGATGGCATATTTCACTTTACATTTAAAGGATATTATCTTTGCCATCACCTGGGAAGGTACCCAGAAAGATAACGATAACCAGAAAGATAGGCGAATCAAAACAAACCACTTCCTGGTTTAAAAATGTGACCAAAGCTCCCAAAAATGCCGAAAGAATTTCCCCACAGGAAGGGAAAGTGATGCTAACCATGATTACCCACATGAGGCCCAACTAAGTCCAAACCTGGTACAGAACCAACTGGGACTTTAGCCAGTTAACTAGGAACTTGAGCCCAGCAAAGCTGGAAAAGAACCAGATCCATGACATGCAGACTTGCTGACTGACTGGAAGACCAAGCCAGCAAGTCGACAAGGGTGCCTCCTCTCAAGAAACAATCAGGTAATGTACACACAGAAATCACAATAGCGTGATGCATCAAATGAACAAATCCACAAGGGCTGTGATGAGGGTTCGAGTGATTTTCCCGGGCCATGACGAGGCCCGGGAAAATGAGCTAAATACTGAACAGGGCTGCCAGTACCCTGTTAGACCACCAAAAATTCCATGCCCAGACATTGCCTTAGTCGACTAGGCCATGACACGGTAAAAGAATTGTAATCGGGAGTTCCACTGGCCTCACACGGATCCTGCAGCCTCTCTGAGACACAAACTAGGTATTTACACAATTCCCCCCATGCACTCGGGCTCTGCCAACAAGCTGTTCTACCTCTTCGCCCTCACTTCATTACACACAGAAATCACAATAGCGTGATGCATCAAATGAACAAATCCACATTCCCGGTTACAATTCTTTTACCATGTTGTGGTGCAGTCAACTAAGGCAGCGTCTGGGATCATCCCGGGCGTAAGTTCGAGCCCTCATCACGGCGCTTCTGGATTTGTTCAATCAGGTAATATAGTTCAGGAAATAAATTGATATTGTTTAATGAGTATATTTCTGAGTATGTTTTGAAAATGTCCAATATGTTCCACTATCTTGAAATATTACAAACATATTTCCATTTTATTTAGCATTTAAAATTCAACAATTTTCTTCTTAAAGAAACACCCTCTCACAATTGAATTTCAAAACACCAGACTTTTACTATTCATAATAAAGTTCCCAAGATTAAGTTCAACATTTACACAAACAATATGCAGTCTCACAATTAATACAATAGTTTCCATACTTACTGAGGTGGATGACGCATCACGTCGTGTAGCTCGATTGCTCCATTTTGAGGCTGTGCGTGTCATGATACTGGTGGTTCGTTGAGACATGCTCACCACTTGGGCCTCCAGGTCAACTGGGATGGAAATATTATGTTTGCGTGCTGCAATGAAAAGATACCATTCTATAATTATGTACTTAGGAGCACAATATATGCAGGATAATATATTTTGTATATGCTATACTATAGTGTATTATTTCCTGAGAATAATTAAATAAATGAGGTCCCCATTATATGAACACTCATTTACTAGCCGAATTCACTCTGCTGTCCCCAGTATTATGAGTATCCTAAAATTGGCTGTGTGGCAGTGGTGATGTGGAGTAGGGTAGTAAAAAAGTCAGCACTCACTATAAGGAAATGCATCTTTCTGAGTGAGCCCTAATGGATTCCTGAAGCTAATTACCCATGGAGAGGAGAGAGAGAGGGCCTCACCAGGAAGGAGGAGAAACTGCAGGCAGTCTAGATGAAGACGAGACACTTGGCCACGAGAAATGACCCAGACATGACGAGGCCCGGGAAAATGAGCTAAATACTGAACAGGGCTGCCAGTACCCTGTTAGACCACCAAAAATTCCATGCCCAAATATCAGCCAGGACATGTTGGGAAAAAGCAGCTGCAATAGCAGTATACAGTATTTACGAACATGATGGGCACGAGGATAGACGACAGGCTAGCTAGACTTGACACTGGATGATCTGAGAAACACAAGCCTTGGAACAGGGGTACTAAGGAAACAAGTCAAACCCACAAAGAATCCACCAAGGAATAATCACTGACAGGAAGGTAATGGTGTTTGGCCACCACCAGGTACAGCACATGAGGCACTATTGGCCAAACCAACAAAGCATCAATAACCAGAAAACCCTTCCAGAAACCCGCTGACTCATTCTTTGCCACAAATGAAGGATCCAGCTGCAAATGAACAAAACTTCCACCAGGGCCAAAAGAACAAAAACTTTGCCTCTGGATAAGAGCACGAAGCTTCCCGACCCCTACAATCAAGAGGCAAGAGCTAACAAGAAAACCTCCTTAGAAAAAGAATCAGAAACCAAAATAGAAGTTATAAATGGAGGAGAAGAAAGAAAGGTGAGGACACAGATAAGAGACCAGGAGGGCTCAGGCAGTGCATGAGCGAGCATGAGGTGATACAATATGTGAGACAGCTTCTAAAACAGTTCAGAGCAAGTATCGACGCTAAACAAAAGCAGCAGCGACCCTACCAGTGCCGAATGATGAGAAGCAACATAATTCAGTATGAGATGATGTATAGGCTCTTGCACTACAAAACATCATTCAGTATGAGATGCTGTATAGGCTCTTGCACAACAAAAAACAAATAAGAAAACACACCATTAGATTTACTCACCCACTTCAGTAAGTGTCTTTATGCAGTTCTCAACATTGACCCTTTGGTGCCCCATGACTGCTTGGCTGACTCTGTACACTGCATGGAGAAGCTGCACAAACACAGGCTGCCGTGTCTGAGTTATTAAACACGGGGAAAAAGTCAGGTGCATGCTTTATATGTTAAGAGTTATGTTGGGCACAAGCCCAAATCAAAACCAAAATTTATGAAACATTTATATTGATTTTCAGGTTGAATCATTTCCAATACAGTTTAATATGTAAAATATTCAAATACTGTACAGCAGACTTAGACTGTGCCCTTTTCAGGGGGCCATGCTATACTGGGTGTTGGTACTAAATTGTAATTCAAACAACTCAATCTGTATGGATATTCGGACTAATGGAGCACTCGTCTCAATAGATTACATGTTTTTGTTTAGGTTTACACTCTTATGGCTAGGCAAACATACTTCAGCTCTGATACCTATCAAATCATGAGAACGGCTTGCATAAACACGGGCCAATGTGCAGTACGTATGACATAGTACAATGTTGATTTTGCACTAATGCATTTACATATATGTTTTACACTATGTGTATGTTTATGTATGTATGTATGTATGTATGCATGCAAGAAACTTTGTGGGTATATTTTTTCACAATTTTTTCTTATGGAATGATAAAGCTTTCCATTGCATTACATATGATTTGAATTATCTCTCTCTCTAGATCTCTCTCTCTCTCTCTAGATCTCTCTCTCTCTCTCTAGATCTCTCTCTCTCTCTCTCTCTAGATCTCTCTCTCTCTCTCTCTCTAGATCTCTCTCTCTCTCTCTCTCTATCTCTCTCTCTCTCTCTAGATCTCTCTCTCTCTCTCTAGATCTCTCTCTCTAGATCTCTCTCTCTAGATCTCTCTCTCTAGATCTCTCTCTCTAGATCTCTCTCTCTAGATCTCTCTCTCTAGATCTCTCTCTCTAGATCTCTCTCTCTAGATCTCTCTCTCTAGATCTCTCTCTCTAGATCTCTCTCTCTAGATCTCTCTCTCTAGATCTCTCTCTCTAGATCTCTCTCTCTAGATCTCTCTCTCTAGATCTCTCTCTGTATTATGTCTTGGGTTATAATTCTTGTTATTGAAATAAATTTACTACTGTAACTGTTAGCGGATACATTTATTCACACACCTATTAACCACATTGTTTCAGCAGCTGCAACAACTCGTTAGAAAAAAAAGAAATAAAGGTAGTCTATCAAGTCTGTCTATCATTAAGTGAAAGATGGAATAAAGACAATGTTTATTAATGTACAGTATAAACCCCGAGGAAAAAGATGCAAGATTGTGAGAGTTGCAGATAATGTCACACCATTCTCACAATGATTCCCACCAGCCTACTCTCATGTCTCCTACATCGCTATCCACCTAACTACTTTATCTTCAACACACAATAAATGCACCTCCAATACTGTATTTGACTCTAAACAAAAATCATAAATATTGTATAAATAAGAAACATTTAATGATAAAAGATAGTGTAAGAGAAAATGTTCATTATATAACACGTGTGTGTGTGTGTGTGTGTGTGTGGGCGAGGGTGGCTGCCACCTCCAGCAATGGTGAATGTTTACTTCCGTCTCTTGCCAGACACACACACACTCCCATCCTAAATGCTGCAACATACACGATGCAAAATACAAAATGCATCTTAATGCAAGAATCATAAATAACAGACATTCTATGTTTATCTATGATATTTGGGCATATACTCGTAAGGGCTGAGAAGACGTACATTCTTGCTTGGCTAAAGTGGCAGTGGCATCCAGGTGCTCAAATGGTCACTGCCAATAAGCCAATAGACTAATGACTAAATAAACCTATTCATGCTATCTCACCTTAAATAAAGTGAAAGATGACATAAATGGAATGTGTATTAGCAAGGAATCATAAATAACATGCAAATGTTTATGTATTGTATGCAATTTGTTCTCTTAATTTCTTAAATAAAAAATGCTGAAGGTAAGCAGTGTAGTTGGGCAGAAACCAGACAACAGAATAATGGCTACTCGTATTGTAGTGTTAACTCCATCAGTAGTAGCATGGCAGTTAACCTTACTTTTGATGACCTCTTCCACATATCTATTGTTGGTAAGGATCTGCCTCAGTACTATCTTGTTAACTTGCTTCCAACTAGATATGTGGGAAAGAGTATGCTTGATGTAGGTATCAACAATACTTCACTAGTGCTGGTCAAGGCACTCACTTCTAGTATTAAGGAACTGTACATTCCTATCATACTTTCCATAGTATAGACCAGGGGGCTCCAAACTATGGACCATGCACTACATCTGGCCTAATACAAGATTTTATCCAGCTTGCAGCAATTTGAAAGCTATATAAATAATAAAATTAATGATAACCCTTCATTTTTCTCAACTATATGGTCAGACAGTTGACACATCCAATTCCAGTCCATTGTACTCCTTCCTCGTATGACACCATGCCAGTGTTGTCCATCTGGCAAACCCTCATTTTCAGTCATATACATGTCATATGCTTCAGAAGACCTTGCAAGACTCGTAAAACTTGTAGCTGATCCTAAATGACTCAAACCATAATCATTTAATGTTAATCTTCTCCATGCGGTGTACTAATGTTAGCGTGTAGGAGATGACCCCAATCCCTGTTTCTTGTAACATCCATGTGAGTAACTCATCTTTGCACAAATCATAATTTTCTTTTGTTATACATGTAAGTTATTTTCTGTTCTGCTTTAGTTCATTGCAGTTATTTAGTTTTCTTTCATTAAACACTGACTAGTTTTGAAAATAGCATTTCTGGAAGAGGCCCTTGTGGCTCCGTGAAGCCATCTTGTTGAGATGGTTCCCGACTACTAAGTCACATCAGCTGACTTAGTGGCTCCCGAGTTGTAACCCTGCCTCCCTGACCCCCCCCTCACAGTGGTGCAGAGACCAGGTGACACTCCATCACCCCTACTAGAAAAGCATTTAGAAGGTCACCAAACTAAAAACAGACCAATAAAGCCTCAAATTGCTAAATGAACTCTCAAAACAATGTAGACAATCGAATCCAAGACTCGTGCGAGCTCGTTAGCATTAATCCCCCAACAATTAAGGGTGGGTAGGGAGGAGAGCTCCAGAACTTCCCCAGCTTTCCAGGCCAGTTCTATTGCTGATGGGAATATGGTTACATGTCCACAGTACGGTTCCTGGGTTGTTAACAAGCCATGCATATCCCACTGCTTCTAAGCTAGTGATGGCAACCTTGGATTTTGCCCTGCAGGCATGGGGGTTGCGAACCATTTGCTTGGCGGTGTTCCAAATTTCAGTTACATTTACGAGCAGGTTTTTGTCTGGTTTATGTTTGGTGGACTTGGCTCGTAGGGTGCTTGGAGCTGGATGTGCTCAGGGCTACCTTCCCTGAGTGCTCCCTAGTTCTGCCCCTGAACTGACTAGAGTTCTATTCTCTGGTGTGTTTGTGAGTTTGCTCTTTAAAGGCCAGACCACTGTGGTCTGAAGTTGCAGGTTTCAAGAATTCCACGATCAATTTTGTAGATTCCTGTATGCAGTGATCTATTACTATTTTTGTCTTCTTCTTCTTCTTCTTCTTCTCTTCCTTCTCTCTTGCACTTTAAGGCAGTTGGGTCGAGCTGGGGCAGCATCTGCTGTTGGTCAAGGTAGATCATCTGTGCAGTAAGATGCCAGGTCATAAGTGCTTCTCTCAGCCGGCCTTTCTCTGGCTGGACGGTCGGTGATTGGCTTCTCGTGGTTTGCCCCTTTCATAAGGCGGTGGAGGCAGAAAGGGGGGGGGGGGGAAGTTGGCTTGCCCCTGTTTGGTAGCTCCTTGTCACATTTGTGGCCTTTTTGGGCTGTTTTCAGCAGCCTTTGGTGGAGTTGGTCAGTTCCTTTCTCTTTTGGGGGTACATATCGTTCGGAAAAGGCTTTCCCTTTTTGCTTGCTTCGGATCATTTTGAGGTGGGTGGCTTCCAGCGTGGTTGAAATGTCTATTGCTCTGGTGGGTTTCCTGCCTCTTTCTGGTCCCAAAACAAGATTCGATACACCTCTGGTTCATCCTCAACCTCTCTACAGCTGAACTCGTTCACTTCTTGCTGTGTTCTGGATGACCACTCTGTCCCAGGTCCATCTTATCCTAGAGATGGGTGCTTGAATTTATCTCTCTAAACCTCCAAAATGCAGATCCAGTGTTGATGGAACATCCCCTTCCCTAATTTTTGTGGCGTGCTTGATGTGTTGATACATGAATGTCTCCAGAATGAGGTGGTTTACAAATCTGCCTGTCCAAATGTCCTCCGTTTTTGCTTAGTAGGCCTCCCAGTTGATTGCTTTCAAGCTAAAGTCGCCAGTACCAACAATCATGATTTATTTATTTCTACTATAAACTCTCTCATAACTATTATGAGGCCCTCTCCTTTGCCATCTAGTTCCTACTTTGTCCATGTGTTGCTTGCTAGTAAGCAGTAGGCATTTATGATTATCAGTTTATCACCCTGATTCTAAACCTGCAATGCTATAATGTCAACTTCTCGTGGGCTGTTGATAATTAACTCTCTTACCTTCAGATGTTCTTCAGTTACAGTTACACCTCCACCCTTCCTAGATTTTAGCTTTGTGATTTCTTTGTGTTATAAGAATTAGTTGTAAATTATTGAAATGCAGAATATGAGCAGTTAAGACAGCTCAACCAGGTCACTCTGACATGGACATTAACATGATCCTGAAAGGGGACTACAATCTGAATATTTCATTCTTCAGAATATGAAAAATAAATTTCATTTACAGTAAGAAGAATGCAAGAAAATAATATCTCTAGTAGATAAATTAAAATAACAGATGACAAAATTAAAATTCTGATCAAACCAAAAATAATATGTTGAATGTAATAAATTTCTCTTTAATGGCGAGGCCTTTAGCAGATTCCTGAGCTAAGTGCTGGTCTGCCCAAGTCTAAGAGAGCTGCACCAGGCCTCTCAGACTCAACCTTGCCTACCAGGAGCCAGGACCAGAATCTGACTCTATAAGAAGAGGGGAGCTTGGAGATCAGATAGGAGCCAAAAGTCAAGAAAAACACCCACCAGAAAGCATGAGGACAACAAAACAAGCAA